CCTGCCCCAGCCAGTTCTCACTCCTGCGGGGAATGCTGTGCTGAATGAAAGCCAGTTGATCCAGTGTCCCACTCCCCTTGGGGTGGCCCTTGTAGCTGCTCCTGTCCCTCCAAAAAATCCCCACTTAGTCCCTAGGGCCTGACCCCTAGTGAAACCAAGACCCTTAGCTTGGGGAGGAGCCAAGAGGAGAATGTGCCTTATGCCTTGCTCTCCCTGGTCTCTCCCTGGGCTCCCCCTGGGCCCTCCCTGGGCTCCCTCTGGGCTCCCCCTGGGCCCTCCTTAGGCTCCCCCCGGGCCCTCCCTGAGCTCCCCTTGGGCTCCCCTTGGGCTCTCCCTGGGCCCTCCTTAGGCTCCCCCCAGGCCCTCCCTGAGCTCCCCCTGGGCTCCCCTTGGGCTCTCCCTGGGCCCTCCTTAGGCTCCCCCCGGGCCCTCCCTGAGCGCCCCCTGGGCTCCCCTTGGGCTCTCCCTGGGCCCTCCTTGGGCTTCCCCTGGGCTCTCCCTGGGCTCCAGGGACCTGACAGGGGAGAGCACAAACAGGGCTGGAGAGGCTGCCACTGTTTGCCTTTGTTATTGCCCTTCTCTTTTTCTCTCTCTGTTTTTTTCACCGCTTCTCTGGACAAGTCTCTCAAAGTTATTCCTAGAAAGCCTTAGGATTCTCAGCCACCAAAGGTAAAGGCTTATCACCAGGAGTCCAGCAGAGGTCCCCTTCCTTCCCACAGCGATCGTGGTACTACATTCTTGGCAGGTGTCCCCACAGTACAGGGTCTCAACAGCTCCTGGCTTTCATTCAGCCCGTTCAGGAACTGCTGTCAAAAGAGAGCGTCCCTGTGTCACTATCTTAGCAACAGTCCCAGGTGACTCTTCTTGGCCTGGTGCATGTCACATACCCACCCCTGAACCAGTCAGTGGTTCAGTGCTGGGTCCAGGTGTAACTTTAGCCCCGCCCAAAGCTCATGGCCAAAGGCTGGCAGGGAGATTAAGTCCTATAAACAGAAGAAGGCAGAGGGACACTGAGAAGTAAGTGCAGCCGGGGGTGTGGGAGGGTCTCATACAGGTGCAAAGAGATTATGTAAGCCAGGCACAGCCCTGGCACAGGACAAAATGTGTTTCTCCCTTTCCTGAAGAAAAGCAAAGGGCATGGATGCTCGTGGAGGGGTGATGTATTTGACAAACCATGTCCAACTTTTCCCTGACCGAGAGCAGGTTTTTCCTTAACAAAAGCTGAAATCCACATTTTCTCTTTTCTACTGCTTTGCAGTAGTGGTTACCATGGGGAATGGCATACACTGGGGGTGAGATTCAGTTCATCCATCAATTCTTCATATGGAGAGCCCCTACAATGCACCAGGCCATGCTCCTGGGAAACCAAAGAGACCCAATGACCTGTCCTCATAGAGCTTCACTTCTAGCAGGAGAGAGAACTGATCAACAGATGCACAGATGCAGCAGCCCAGTGTCAGGCGGAATGAGTGCTACAGGGACAAGTGCAGCAGGTGTGGGTGCAGAATAGTGGAGAGCGTGTCAGTAGGGTGGACAGGACGGCTTCTCCAAGGAGCTGACCTTGGTGCAGACCCCTAGGCAGAGTGAAGGAGGCAGTGTCAATGTCACCGTGAGGAGCAAGGCTTCCTGGGTACAGATCTCATCTGTGATCCCCAGCTGTGTTACATTCGGCGAGTTATTTAACTTCCCCTGCCCCTGTTTTCTCATCTGAAAAATGGAACTAATATTAGGAACCTCCCTCCTACAGTGGAGGGGTTAAATGAGTTTCCACATATTCAGAGCATTTCTCCTCCGTTGGTATCATTATTGCTGTCTGTCTGGAGCAGTGTGGCCCAGGCAGAAGGATTCATGGCAGGCCATTTTGATCTAGTTTCTCTTCTCAGAACAAATGAGTTAAGAAGGAGCTGACTGGTACAATCAGGAGGCACGCATAATAGGACATGAGTACCATTTACTCGGGGCCTGATCACTGATTTAATGACGCTGTATTCTGCCACATCTGGGGCCCTGAGCCACACCACATGCTGTATGTTTCGCAATGTAATGCAATAGCCTGAGCGGCTTGTCAGCCTCCTCCATGTGTCTTCTTTCCTCAGGGATCGACCAAGGCCAAATGACCTACGATGGCCAGCACTGGCACGCCACCGAGACCTGCTTCTGCTGTGCTCACTGCAAGAAGTCCCTCCTCGGGCGGCCGTTCCTCCCGAAACAGGGCCAGATATTCTGCTCCCGGGCCTGCAGCGCCGGGGAGGACCCCAACGGCTCGGACTCCTCCGACTCGGCCTTCCAGAACGCCAGGGCCAAGGAGTCCCGGCGCAGCGCCAAAATTGGCAAGAACAAGGGCAAGACGGAGGAGCCCGTGCTGAACCAGCACGGCCAGCTGCAGGTGAGCTCCAACCGGCTGTCCGCCGACGTGGACCCGCTGTCGCTGCAGATGGACCTGCTCAGCCTGGCCAGCCAGACGCCCAGCCTCAACCGGGACCCCATCTGGCGGAGCCGGGACGAGCCCTACCATTACGGAAACAAGATGGAGCAGAGCCAGCCCCAGAGCCCCCTGCAGCTGCTCAGCCAGTGCAACATCCGAACTTCCTACAGCCCCGGCGGGCAGGGCGCCGGGGCGCAGCCGGACATGTGGCCCAAGCACTTCAGCAACCCCAAAAGGAGCGCGTCCCTGGCGCTGAAGGGCCACGGCGGCAGCTTCATCAAGGAGTGCCGGGAGGACTACTACCCGGGAAGGCTGAGGTCCCAGGAGAGCTACAGCGACATGTCCAGCCAGAGCTTCAGCGAGACCCGAGGCAGCATCCAAGTCCCCAAATACGAGGAGGAGGAGGAGGAGGGGGGCATGTCCGCCCAGCAGTGTCGCACCCGCCATCCACTCAGCTCCCTGAAATACACTGAGGACATGACGCCCACGGAGCAGACCCCCCGGGGCTCCATGGAATCGCTGGCCCTGTCCAACGCGACAGGTAGGCTCCCTTCGCCTGGCAGGCAGACGGCCCGGGTGATCCCCGGGTGACCTGGTGCCGGTCGGCCCTCAGGGCTTTCGTGCGGTTCCCGCCATGTGCCCCCTCCAGCAGGTCGCTGGGGAAGATGCGCCCAAGTCTCACGTGGCCTCTGTGATCGGGTTCCCTAGAAGCAGAGCCTGAGGCAGACACTTGAATGCTTGTGAAGTGTCGAGAGGGTGCTGCAGGGAGGGGGAGTGAGAGACGCAGGACAGGGCAGGGGAGGAGCCAAGCGAAGGATGCCATGGACGGGAGCCCAGCCCCGCAGGGGGCTCTGGAGGGTGTTGGCACACACAGTTGGGCCCCGCTTGCGGCAAAGGGGCTGACGTTCGGTGCTGCCATGTCAGTTAGTCATTGGCATTGGGCTGCTGGCGAGTGACTGGGGCGCAGGGCGGTGGATGTGGGATGGGGCAAGGCAGCTCCTGTAGGCAAAGGCAACATTCGGGAGAAGGGGCAGCTGTGCGCCGGAGGCAGTGCTCACAAAACCAGGTGCTGCCTGGGGCACCAGCACGGCCGCGCCAGCTCCCAGGGCGGTTCTGAACCCCAGTATCTCATTAGGCAGCTGGCTTAGCGTGCAGATAAAGACCAGAGAGATGGACAGAGCTGAAAAGGGCAGAAGTGGAGAGGACAGAGAGAGAGAATGAGCCCGATGCCCACCCTCGCCAGGCAGATTGTCTAGCCGGTTTGTGCACATGGGAAGACGTGTAGATGACCCCTAGGATGACACTACTCAAAGGGCCGTCTGAAGCTCAGGGCCAGCCGCAGGCCTCAGTGAGATAAGTACTGAAAGGACAATGTTTAGGGACCCTTAGAGCAATTTGACAACATCCAAGTGTATGTTCGCTGTGTTCATCTGTTGGTCCAGCTACAGACCTGCGTAGGTGCTGCAGAACCCCGGGTGAGTTCTGTCTGGCATTGCTGTGTGTCAGTCATGTTCAGGAAGGCACCTATCAGCCCACAATGGATTAAAAATAAACTGGTCCTTCACCATGGACAGCTTGAGATGTACTGCTCTAAGATACACCGAGTGTATCTGCCCCTCATGGGCTGGACCCCCGAGGAGGGAGACCACATCCACCCAATACAACAGGGATCCCATAGTCAAATGAGTCTAGGTGGAGGCTGATAAACTGGCACACGTCAGCCCCATCTGGAGGGGACAGCCACTGCTCGGACAGCCACTGTGGCTTGTTGCCACATGCAGTGTTATTTATTCATTCAACTAACAGTGATATAGATCTTACCATGTGCCAAACATTGTTCTAAGCACTTTATAAATATTAAGTCAGTTAAATTATCACAACCCTAGGAAGGAGGAAGACTATTAAATTCTCATTGCAGAATTGAAGAAGCAAGCACAGAGAGGCCGAAGAACTTGGCCCAGCTTTTAAAAGGTGGGGGAGGGGTTTGAACCTGTGCATATGACCCCAGAGCAATGATGTTAATCACACCAGGCTGCACCTAATATGAGCCCATGTTGTCAAATCTCCAACTTGTTTCAGACAAGTTAAAAATGTGTATTTGCCCTGGCTGGGTGGCTTGGTCCTCTGGAGCATCATCCCGTACACCAGGGGGTGTGGGTTCAATTCCCAGTTGGGACATACCTGGGTTGTGGGTCCAGTCCCGGTCGGGGTGAGTGGGGGAGGCAGCTGATCCATGTTTCTCTCTCTGTCTCTCCCTCCCTTCCTCTCTCTCTAAAATAAATAAAAGCATATCCTTGGGTAAGGATTGAAACAAACAAAACCCCACGAGAATGAGTGCTCTCTTCTTGTGGAGATAGCTTTAAAAAATGTGCATTTTTTTAAAATGTGAAATCTATGTTCACTCTCTGCTAACAAGCAGAAGGTGTCTCCGGGTTGCAGGATGTCTACACAGTGTGTTTTAACTGCCATCTCCCTCGAATGCTTTCACATCTGTGTTCTCATTCATCCTAGAGAGCAGGTAGCACATATCCTTACCCCCTTGTTTCGGATGAAAAAAACAAGGCCTTGGTGACTAAGCACCTTGCCCGATGTCGTAGAAGTGAGCAATTAGTGCAGAGCAATGACTGCCTGGCTTCCAGCCCAATTTGTGCTATTCTCGAAAGATTTATGTGCTATAATTATTTAAGAGGCCAGGAGATAAGCAATTCAGCCTCTGAAGCAGTGTCTCAATGCTAGACCGCCCTGCATCAGAATCATTGGCTGCTTGATTCACACACAGACTCCAGGGCCTCCCCAAGGAGCCTGCATTTTAACCAGCTCCCTGCTGATGCTGATGCAAGCAGTGTCTGAGAACAGTGCCTGGGTTTTGTCTGTTCTTATTTTTTGTCCTCACACTGTGACTTACAAGGCAGTCAGATGTGAGGGTTGGAGAATGTTGGAAAGGCCACGTGGGTACATTTGAAGAACATATGGTCTCTGATCTTAAGAAAGAGGCAGGGACTTTATCCCCATGATTTTCTATGGCTCCCTCTTCAAAGTAACTAATGCTCCTCTGTCTCTGAGAGTGTTGGAAAGCAGCGTGAGCCATGTCTGATGCAGCTGAGAAAACGTCCTCAGAGCAGCCCCGTCCAACATGGTAGCCGCTAGCCACATGTGACTATTGAAATTTGAATTAATTAAAATTAAATGAAATTATAATTTTAGGCCATCAGCTGCACTAGCCACATTGTTGTTGTTGTTTTTGGAGTTTTTTTTAAATTTGTCTTTATTGTTGAAAGTATTGTTGAAAATGTCCCCTTTTTTCCCCTTTGACCCCTTCTACCCCACCCCAACTCCACTTCAGTCCTTCACCGCACTATTGTCTGGTCCATGAGTTATGCATAATATGCACATAAGTTCTTTGGTTAATGTCTTCGTACCCACCCCTGNTATGCATAATATGCACATAAGTTCTTTGGTTAATGTCTTCCTACCCACCCCTGCATTCCCTCTGAGATTCGTCAGTCTGTTCCATGCTTCTGTGTCTCTGGACCTAGTTTGTTCATAAGTTTATTTTGTTCATTAGATTCCACATATGAGTAAGATCATATAAAACTGAATCAGGAAGAGTCAGACAACCTGAATAGGCCAAAAACAACTGATGAAACTGAAGTAGTAATAAAATAAAATAAAAACTCCCAGCAACCAAAAGCCCTGGTCCAGACGGCTTCACAGGGGAGCTTTCCCAAGCATTCTTGTTACAGCAGTCCCTTTAACATTTCTTGCATTACTGGTTTGGTGGTGACAAACTCCTTTAGCCTTTTTTTGTCTGGAAATCTCTTTATTTCACCATCTATTTTGAATAATAGCCTTGCTGGATAGAGTAGTCTTGTTTTCAGATCCTTGATTTTCATTTCCTTGAATACTTTATGCCATTCCCTTCTGGCCTGCAGAGTTTCTGATGGGAAATCAGCTGACAGCCTTATGGGAGCTTCTTCATGGGTAACAGATTGCTTTCTCTTACTGCGTTTAAGATTCTCTCTTTGTCTTGAATTTTTGGCATTTTAATTATGATCAAAATGAACATGGGCCTCTTTGGGTTCTTCTTTCTTGGGACTCTGTGCCTCCTGAACTTGTGTGGGTTTTACCTTCACCAGGTTATAGAAGTTGTCTGCCATTATTTTTTCAAACAGGTTTTTTATGCCTTGCTCACTTTCTTCACCTGTGACGTGAATATTGTTACATTTCATGTTGTCCCCCAGCTCCCTTAAGTTGTCCTGTTTTCTAATTGTTTTTTCTTTTTGGTTCCCTGATTTACTGTTTGTTTCTACCCTGTCTTCTAATTCACTGATCCAGTCCTCAGCTTCCTCTAATCTGCTATTTATTCCTTTGAATGTGTTCTTTATTACTGTTATATCATTCTTATTTCCTTCATATTTTCCATATCTTTTCTCATGCTGTTGAGCATCCTTACGATCATTATTCTGAACTCTATATCTGATAAATTTTTTATCTCTGTTTTATTTAGCTCTTCTTCTGGAGAATTCTCTTATTCTTTCTTTTGGGGCTTGTTTTTTTTGTCTCCCCATTTTGGATGCCTGTTTGGTTTTGTTTCTATGTATTATNTCTTCTTCTGGAGAATTCTCTTATTCTTTCTTTTGGGGCTTGTTTTTTTTCTCCCCATTTTGGATGCCTGTTTGGTTTTGTTTCTATGTATTATGTTGATCTGTTAGGACTCCCAGTCTTTTTGGAGGGTCTCTGGTGCAGGACAATGTCAGATGCAGTTTGTGACTGGCCCTAAGTACACTTTTTGAAGCTCTCAGCAATCCACAGCTTGTAGCTCCCTCTGCTGAGGCTGTGTGCATTTGGAAAGGACCAAGATGTGCACTGAGGTCTGCTTTTCCTAGCCCTGAGTCCAGAAGCAGATCAGGCAAAGATTCAAAGTATCCAGAGATCTACCTTTGCTTGCAGACTAATTGTTATTCTCACCTTTTAATGAACCTCGGGCTGTTGACCATAGCAAGACATGAACTTCACAGGGTGGGGCAAAAGGTTTTTCAAAAGGGTGAGGCAATTGTCCCTCAGGTAAAAACTGCCTGGATGGTAAAGGCCTGCCTGAGAAAGATGCCCTTTGCCATATGGGGGAATAACTCAGCACAATAATTAGAGCTCTATCCCCAGAGCCCCCAATCTTGGATTCTTCTCACACAGCTCTAGTCCACTCTGCCATCCCCCTGCCAGAGCCCAAGNCAATCTTGGATTCTTCTCACACAGCTCTAGTCCACTCTGCCATCCCCCTGCCACAGCCCAAGGTGAGTGGCTGCACCTGAAATTTTGTGCATTGGCCCTTTAAGAGGGTGCCTGCATTTCCAGCCATCTCTCCCTGACAGACAGAATTCCTGCTGCTTTTCACAGCCAGATGTTATGTGGACACCTTTCTCAGTTCTGGTGCTCTGGGCTGAGAAGCCCAGTTTGGGGTTTAGACCCCAGAGTTCTCAATGGGAACCCCCACAGCTGAGATCTCCCTCTGGACCTTTAGCTGCTGCCTGAGGGAGCCCAGCC